TATTTGGTTGTGTTAATAAATGCTGTAGCCTGTTTTCTCCAAGAAGTTGTCTGTCGTTATTTGAAGGGGTAAGTTATGGTTTTATGGGGGATAAAGGGAATGCTATCCAATGCCCACTTTGTACATTCATGTGTATTGCTGACACTATAGTGCTAAACTAACAGATACATTTGGCAACATACATTCAAAGCCTTACTCAAGTTAGATGTTTAAGTGTGCTAGTGACATCTAATAGTTAATCCTGCATATTGTAGACTCCAATTAGCTGCTATTTGACACTAGTGACATCCTAAAATGGATCTTGTTTGAGCGCTGTTACAGGAAAAAAAGGTAAGCTGGCTGTTGTGCCTAATCATTAAATTCATGAAGCACCAATATCCAAAAAGTAATAATCAATACCTAATAAGGTTTATAGCGATATCGGTGGGCACACAACCCAGTTCGGATAGAGTACATTGAGTTATAGGAAAGAGAAATCACACAGAGACCAAGTTGAATATAAGAATTAACACTACACTTTATTATCCACAAAGGGATCTAAGCAAAGTAAGTTTTACTCTAATTTAAGTAGTTGCATGCATTTACTTGAAACAGCTTAGTATCTAGATATATCAGTTTAAGTATACATCACCATTAGAGAAGCTTGGTTGTCTCCTTGCCACACATGACGGGGGGAACTCAGGCAGTCACTCGGAGAGAACCTCTCTTCTGGGAACAGCAGAAACCAGTAACACGAGTCCGCATAACAGGTGGGTTGTTCTCCAAGGGAGCGCAAGATTCCCTTAGTCTTATATACCTGTCTTCAAGGACAGTCAGTAGTTCCTTATCAGTGCAGCCCAGCAAAATACCTTGATACAAGTAGCTGGATGGACCTGGCAGTTGGCCAGACTGCTCAGGACCACCAGAACCTATGCCAAGTCTTGTGCGGTTAATTATCTCTTATCTATAAGCGTTCTTTGTACTATTCTAGAGATGGCAACACAAGTTTCTTAAACAGCTGTAGTGCTGTGTCAGCTCTTAATGGCTGTGGCATAAAGTCTTCAAGCCTGCATCTACTAATTGTGGCCTTCAAGCCTGCATCTAGTAATATGTGCTATGTGTGCTTATATGCTTACCGGTGCCATCTTAACTATCTATAAATGTTTGAGTTGCTCAATAGTGATCAATCAATCATACTTGATTAATATGAAATATTATTATCACACTGGCCTGTGGCCATACAAGATATAAGATACACCTAGATGAAAATAACAAGAAGGGAAACGATCATAGGGAAACACCGTTTAGTAGATGGTACCCTAAGGTGATATTGCACTCACGAAATTGTGATGAAAATCAAGCCCATCTAGATTTTCTTTGGTCTTGTCAAGAAGTCTTGTGAGGAGATGGTTAATGCCTCAAAATTAAGAAAAACCGAACATAGTATAGAATTGTATGGTAAAAAAGAATTACATTTTATTGGAAGCACTTACACAAGTTGTAGATAAAAACGCCCATCAAGTAAATGTCTCCTTTGTAAGATGGTAATCAGAGGTTGCAAATACAGAGATGGCAGATCAAATAAAATAAAATAAAATCAAAACAGCTCTACGCGTTTCGTCTAAAAGACTTAGACTTCCTCAGGAGCAATAAAAACAATCAAATAAACTACAAATGTACTGAGTCCATCAATGTTGCTCTTATCTTCTGTTCGGTCTTCTTTATAAATCTATTTTGCCGGGTTCTCATCCACGCCGTCCAATCTGTGCACTTGGTAGCAGCTGATTGCAATAAGCAGAAGTCCCATTCCATATATGGACTTCCGTAATTCGCTTCGTGGAGCGCATCTGCGTTCCACCTAGCCGGAAGAGGAAAGATCTCTTCTATCAACGTCATCATTTGGAACGCACGTGCGTTCCAATTTGGCCGCTAAGCCATTATCTCCACTAAAAATAGTTCGTACTTGTAAGAGATGATATAACGGAGAAATAGAGTTATATATACAGAACATACATAATATATATACACATAAAGCTAGTGCAAAAAAGGGGAGAAAGAAAGAGAAAGTAATATGCCCAAAGGGAAGGATCTTGGATACATCTATAAATGAAAAAAACATGGATGAAAAAACATGAATGAAAAAATAAATAAGAAAATAAGTAAAAAAATATAAATCTAAAGGATATTGATAATAATGAAAATAAATATAAAAATGAAATAAAAATAATAAAAATAATAATAATAATAATAAATAATAATAATAATTATAATAATAATAATAAATGTAAATAATAAATGTAAATAATAATAATAAAAATAAAATTAAAAATTTAAATTTAAATTAAAATTAAAATAAAAAAATAAAAAAATAAAATAGAATAAAAATCAAAATGAAAAATAAAATAAAAAATAAAAAATAAAAAATAAAAATAAAAATAAAAAATAAAAAATAAAATAAAAATAAAAAATAAAAAATAAAATAAAAATAAAAATAAAAATAATAAAAATAAAAATAAAAATAAAAAATAGAAAATAAAAATAAAAATAAATATAAATATAAAAATAAAATAAAAATAAAAATAAAATAAAATAAAATAAAAATAAAAATAAAAAATAAAAATAAAAATAAAAATAAAAAATGAAATAAAAATGAAATAAAAAATAAAAAATAAAAAATGTATATATTATTAAAGAAAACAAACAAAATCAAAATCCACATTCAACCCGTAAGGTTGAAGGGTTTTGAGTTTGTGGATCCAAAATCCTTCCCTCTGTCTTAATTTTAGAGTAATATCTCCACCTCTTGCGTCAAGTGTTACTTGTTCAATAATCACCCAAGAGAAAACATGAGAAGAGAAAAGGGGACACTGATTGCAATGAACAGGAACAGAATGATCCATCTTTTTGTGTCTAATATTGTTTAGATGTTCCAAGAAACGCAATTTGGCTTTTCTTCCTGTTCTCCCCACATATTGGACACCACACCCACATGTGAGGAGGTATACAACATGTGAGGAAGAACAGGTCACCCGACTTTGGATCTGAAAAATTTCTTGGGTTATAAGGCTCTTAAAAGAACAAGTATAGGGGGGTAAGCCTCTACATGCTTTGCAGACGCCACAGGTATAAAACCCTTTTTTCACCTTCAGTTCCTGTTGTTCCCCACTTCGAAAATGGCTAGGTGCTAAGTAAGATGAAAAACTCCTCCCTTTCCTATATACTATCTGAGGGTATAAGGGTAATTTGGAGCCTATAAATTGGTCATGTCTTAAAATCTCCCAATGTTTTTTAAAAATTTTATTGATTGCAAAAGCTTTGGAATTATAATTAGTATGAAATGAGAATTCAAATTTCCTATTCGAGTTCTCAGTGCGTTTGATCTTATCAATTAAAATATCACCTCTTTGAGTATTCGTTATTTTCTCTATTTCTCTATCCAAAACCTCCCTGTTATAACCTTTCTCGGTAAATTTCCTAGTCAGAATATTTGCTTGTTCTAAAAAAACTTCTTTATTGGAACAATTTCTCCGAAGTCGGGTATATTGACTTCTGGGTACTCCCGACAACCATCTTGGGTGGTGTCCGCTTGATGATTCGATATAATTATTAGTGTCTGTGGGTTTGAAGTATGTTTTGGTTTGAATGTGACCTTCTTGTATAAATATGGTCAGATCTAGAAAATCTATGGTGGTAGAATTATACATAGGAGAAAAAACAAGTGAAAAAGTATTATCGTTGAGATATTTAAAAAAATTTAATAAACGTTCCTCAGACCCCTTCCATATCACAAGGATATCGTCAATATAACGACGCCAGAGCACCAGATCTGCCCCGAATGGATTATGTTCCCAAACGAATCGACGCTCCCAATAATCCATAAAAATGTTGGCATAACTCGGGGCAAACCTGGTGCCCATGGCAGTACCCTTGATCTGTAGGAAGAACTCATCATTGAACATAAAAAAATTATGAGTGAGTATAAATTGAATCGCTTCAAGCAAAAACTGGGCAAAACCCTGATTCAAGGAAAAATCCTTGTTTAAATTATCACTCACGGCTAATAAGCCTAATTGATGGTCAATGACAGTATAAAGGGATCCCACATCTAAAGATGCCCACATGTACCCCTCTTGCCACTCGATAGAATCGAGTTCCTGCAAGAGGTGCTTCGTGTCTTTTAAATAGGATAAGGAGGATTGGGCATATGGTTGTAGATAATGGTCAATGAATTGGGATAAGTTGGAAGTTAAAGAGTCAATTCCACTGATGATGGGTCTACCAGGTGGATTTGTTTGACATTTATGAACTTTAGGCAAAAAATAGAATGTTGGAACTCGAGGATGCTCTTGGTATAAAAAACGATAAGTTCCAACATCTATATTTTGCTCTTCTACAGCTTTATCCAAAAGAGTCTTAAGTTCATGTTTAAAGGTTTCATTCGGACTCTTAGAAAGTCGTAAATAAGTCTCAGCATCCCCTAGTAATCTGAAAGACTCATTTAAATAAAAATCTCTTCTCATGACCACAATGCCTCCTCCTTTATCAGCATTCTTTATGATGATATCTTTCCTTTTCTTTAAGGAATTAAGGGTCCGCATTTCTGCTTGAGTTAAATTATTACAATATTCTTTTTTGCTTGTTAATTTCTCGAGGTCTGCCAGAACCATCTTCTGGAAAGTTTCAATTTGGCCACCCTTCTCATATGGACAGAAGGTGGACCGAGATCTAAATTTTTTAGCAATATCCTGGTTTGGTAAAAAATCTGGTTTAAAGGGTTGGTTTAAGGATTTCTTCTCAAAAAATCTCTTTAAGCTAAGTTTTCTAGTGAATTTTAGCATATCAATATAGATTTGAAAAGAATTAGGGGGAACATTAGGCGTATATTTCATGCCCTTCTTGAGAATTAAACATTCTTCTCTAGAAAGGGGTGCATTGGATATATTAAATATCCCCATAGATTTCTCTTCTTCTTGTGTTTTTAATAGAGATTGTCTCTCTCTGAACTTAATCTCCTCTTTTTGGCCTGTGGCCATACCAGTCTTAAAATGCCTGATCTCATCACATCTGAGCAGTCATTCAGACTCGGGCCTGGTTAGTACTTGTGTGGGAGACCAACTAGGAACCTCAGGTGCTGTAGTCTATTAAAACTAAAAAAGATAAGCTGGCTCCCTTGTCTGCAGACATGAACCACTAGAGAAACCCACATATTCTTTGCTAGAACAGGTCTTAGATTAATACACGGTCTCCTGTTTAGTCAGTTCAATTAGCAAGGGGAGCTGACATTATCAGTAAGCATAAAACCTAGATGCTTAACATGTCCTATTTTATCCTATGCATAGTTTCAGGAGTACCCAATCCAGCTTAGGGATCTCTTTCTCCCAGTCCCTCTGTATGTTTTTTTTCTCCCCCAACTCATTTGTGTGTCTCTTTTTTTCCCTTCCTCAGCCCCTCTCTGTGTCTCTTCCCCAGCCCTTTTGTGTTGCTTTCTCTTCCCAGCCCTCCTGTGTGTCTCTTTCCCTGCCAGCACCTAAGTGGGTCTCTTTCTCCCACCCAGCCCCTCCGTATCTCTTTGTTTCCCCTAGTCCCTCTATGTGCCTCTTCCCTTCTGAGCCCTCTGTGTGCCTCTCCCCCCAGCTCTCTGTGTGCCTCTTCCACCAACCCTCTGTGTGCCTCTCTGCCCAGTCCTCTGTGTGCCTCTCGCCACCCCCAGTCCTCTGTGTGCCTAGATCAGGGATAGGCAACCTTCGTCACTCCAGATGTTGTGGGCTACAACCCCCATAATGCTCTTACACCCACAATGCTGGCAAAGCATTATGGGAGGTGTAGTCCAAAACATCTAGAGTGCCGAAGGTTGCCTATGCCTGGCCTAGATAGATAGATAGATAGACATGACTTCTTATATAACTTTGCAGTATAAGAAATATGTCCCTAATTACAGTAATCAAGCTAATTTGCCTTCTTTTTTTGTCTGACAGACCATTTTATCCCTACGATTATGATTATTTTCAAATGAAATTTACAAAAGTCAAATTATAAATTCATTTTGCACCTTACCAAATATATAATGAGCCTATTTGGAGCTGAATACTCTATTAATTAAGTCAATTAGAAACTCTGCAGCACTTTCCCGTGTTCTAAAGATTCCGTATGAGAAGATTCTGGACTGTAATATGTATAAAAATGAACAGTACGGCTAATATATGGAAGGAATATCTCTTATAGAGAAGACAAAACATGCTTTGCTTCCAGAGAGAACCAGCATCTGCCGGTGGAGTACAAATAAGCCGTCAGTCTTATTAAATATGTTCTAGGGGGAAATAAAAGGATTTTTACATTTGAAAAGGGAAAAATCTAAAATGGGCCTTTATTGGGTATCAAACTGTGAATGAAGCCAAAGGAACAACTTCTTTTTCTAATCTAAAAGGTGTTCAATTATGGAGGCGTATTAGTAAGTGAGCAGTAATTGCATTCACCGCTTCATTGTATATGCCAATTTTCAGACGAAGGTACAGCATTAAAATGGCTGTAAGCTCTTTTTTTTCTTAGTACAAGAATGAATCACCTGTGAAACATGGCAATGACTTTTTATGTTTTCCTCTACAGTCAACTAATCATTTCATCTTCATAGAAAGAAACATCTCTCAGCACTCGGTGGCAGCTATAAGGCATCTAATAGTGACAATGTATTAATGTTCAGTTAGTTAGTACGAAAGATGTCTAACTGAAAACACTACACAATTCCATTGGTTAGTACACCAATTCTAGCACCCATTTAAACCAGAATGCTGCAGGTTATAGTCCTTGCAGTACGATATGTTGTTCCTCTTTCCTAGGATATTATTCTTTGGGATGTGATAAATCCTCCCCAAAAAAATGTTTTATCACAGGGTGCGATTGATAATGTAAATGTGTCTTCCACATTATCAGTAGCCGAGCAGGAGATGGGGCTGTAGGTGCCTTGAAGATCCCTGGTTATTACAAATTGCTTGAAAATAGTTTGAGCAAGAACTGTGGAATCAACCATAATCTCCACAAATTCAAAAAGTGGTTATGTCTTTTAAGGACTTCTTTTCAAAATTATCTGTGTCCAATAATCGGATAACATTTTATTTTGTACTGTTACATCAAAATCATAAAAGCTGGTGCAGTGTCACCAGTGCTTGCAAGTTGCAGGTGGACCATCAGGTGGCCCTCACACTTGGGGCCACCTGGTTTGCATTTCTGATCTGGGGCCCATAGGCACCACAACCCTTTAATGGCGCGACTAGGCATCTAACAGCTGGCAGTGCTGAGAGGAAGTGATTACATGGCACTATGATGTGATCACATGACCCCCAAATTACAGCAAGAGATATGCAGACTAGGTAGGGGGAGGTAGTGATCGCCTGCACTAACACCAGCCAACTTCATCCTCCGTCAGCAGCCAGCAGTCCCTCTGGATTCTTGCTTCATCTAAGTGTTGCTTCTAAGTGTGTGGTTGGAGATATTCTAGAGAGTGTTGCTTCTAAGTGTGTGGTTGAAGATATTCTGGAGAGTGTTGCTTCTAAGTGTGTGGTTGGAGATATTCTGGAGAGTGTTGCTTCTAAGTATGTAGTTGGAGATATTCTGGAGAGTGTTGCTTCTAAGTGTGTGGTTGGAGATATTCTGGAGATAAACTGGAGGTAATCTGAGGTATTCAGGAGGATAAATAAAAATTAAGATTTGTTTGATTTAAATTATTCTCCTCATTGGAATGGCAGGCTTAGTTCAGTGTAATAGTTGCTATGCATTTGTTTCACGTTCCACTTTTTGGAGGTTTGGTTGTTGTCTAATCTGTAGACAGTTCTCTATCTTGCGGCAGGAGATTGTATTTTTGAAGTCTGTGATTTGTAAATTATCTGGTAAACAAACTCAGGCTGGAACTACTGCAAAGCCACTGCCGCAGAGACATACTAGGAATGGCAGATGGATTACTGTAGGATCTGGTAGACTTAGAGTTGTGGATAAAAGGCATATTGCACAGTCTGTTGCTCTACAAAATTAATTTTCTGCACTTTCAGAGTGTAATGGTGTTGTGGAGAGAGGCACTGAGGCTAGTGATGTTATGGAGAGAGGCACTGAGGCTAGTGGTGTTGTGGAGACCGGCTTGGAGACTATGGTGAGGCCTAATAGAAAGCAGTTGTTGTTGGGGGATTCCATCATAAGAGGTGTGGAGATGGACAATGGTGGTCTTGTGAGGTGTCTTCCCGGAGTTACTACTCACAGAGACAGGAGACGTATCTGTAATATTGTTAAGCGAGCAAAGCAGGAAGGGGAATTGGATGTACTTGTCCATCTAGGGACAAATGACTTGGCTTGTAATGAGTTTTCAGAGATTAAGGAAGTTTTTAGTGTTTTTGCCAATGATATACGGCAGGTTGCTTCCACACTGTCATTCTCTGAAGTTCTGCCTGTGCATAACACTCAGAACGACAGGCGGATGCGTATTAGGAACTTTAATTTGTGGCTTGGTGAATGGTGTCGGGAGCAAGGATTTGGCTTTATTTCTCATGGTAGCTCTGTTTGGAATGGAGATAAGCTGTACAAAAAAGATGGTTTGCATCTTTCTTAAAAGGGAACAAATGTTCTCAGTGAGCAGTTCAGAGGTTTTGCTAGGATGTATTTAAACTAGGAGGGGGGGGGCAAAAGGGTGATAAAACATCAATCCAATTGTCCCCCAAAACAAGGACAGAAGGTGCCTGTAGCAAGTGTGTTAAAAATGATAAGCTTAGAGTCATGTCTACAAATGCTTGCAGTTTAGGGAATAAGATCCATGAACTTGTGGCAATAATGGCAACTGATAGTGTAGATTTAGTTGCTGTTACTGAGACATGGTACAATGAGAAAAATGACTGGGACATAGCAAGACCAGGGTACTCTTTATATAGAAAAGACAGGGAAGGCAAGAAAGGGGGAGGGGTGGCCCTGTATGTGAAGGATAGCATAAAATCTAGGAAACAACAATTACAGGGCGCGCCAAGAAGAAAGTAAATAAATAAAATGGATAATAGGAAAAAAAAAGAAATACCAGGGAAACAGGCAAATTAAAGTCTCTAATTCACAGGTATATTCTTCTTAAATTCTCAGGACGTCTTGGGTCAAGTTCTCATCAGCATATATGAAAGAGAAAAAAACATACAGAGGGGACCAATGGTGCAGTAACGTAAAGGAGTATGGCTACAGACAACACTGAGATTAAAAAATGCCAACTCACATTTGTGGGAGCTATAACCAGCTCGAGTAAAACAGCATACAGTGGTATTTAAACTCCCCACATGCAGGATATTCCTATCACGAGATTTTCAGTGTAGGTTATATGAAATAAAAACACAGGAGAAGGCCCATAGTGCTCTCTATATTAAAAAAGTGCTGGATAAAATAAGAGATATACTTACAATTTACAGAGCACAGAGACAAGCCGCTCTGTGTAAAGCGCCTGGGTGGTACGATCCCCACCATGGATTCTTTGGATGGTATAAAAAGCTTCAGATGTTTAGGATATGCCAGGCAAAAAAATAAGGATAAATATAAAAGTATTTAAAATAGTTAGAAAAAATACTTTTATTTAGATTAAAATAAAGTGTTTTAATCTAAATAAAAATATTTTTTGGGTAACTAAAATTATAGATCAGGGTGGTGCAGTAGACATTGCTTACCTAGATTTCAGTAAAGCTTTTGACACTGTTGCACATAGAAGGCTTATCAATAAACTGCAATCTTTAAGTTTGGATTCCAATATTGTTGAATGGGTAAGGCAGTGGCTGAGTGACAGGCAACAGAGGGTTGTAGTCAATGGAATATGTTCGAAGCTTGGACTTGTTACCAGTGGGGTACCTCAGGGATCTGTACTTGGACCCATTCGCTTTAATATTTTTATTAGTGATATTGCAGAAGGTCTTGATGGTAAGGTATGTCTTTTTGCTGATTATACTAAGATATGTAACAGGGTTGATGTTCCAGGAGGGATAAGCCAAATGGCAAATGATTTAGGTAAACTAGAAAAATGGTCAGAATTGTGGCAACTGACATTTAATGTGGATAAGTGCAAGATAATGCATCTTGGACGTAAAAACCCAAGGGCAGAGTACAGAATATTTGATAGAGTCCTAACCTCAACATATGAGGAAAGGGATTTAGGGGTGATTATTGACTTAAAGGTAGGCAGACAATGTAATAGAGCAGCAGGAAATGCTAGCAGAATGCTTGGTTGTATAGGGAGAGGTATTAGCAGTAGAAAGAGGGAAGGGCTCATGCCATTGTACAGAACACTGGTGAGACCTCACTTGGAATATTGTACACAGTACTGGAGACCGTATCTTCAGAAGGATATTGATACCTTAGAGAGGGTTCAGAGAAGGGCTACTAAACTGGTTCATGGATTGCGGGATAAAACTTACCAGGAAAGGTTAAAGGATCTTAACATGTATAGCTTGGAGGAAAGACGAGACAGGGGGGATATGATAGAAACATTTAAATACATAAAGGAAATCAACACAGTAAAGGAGGAGATTATATTTAAAAGAAGAAAAACTACCACAACAAGAGGACATAGTCTTAAATTAGAGGGGCAAAGGTTTAAAAATAATATCAGGAAGTATTACTTTACTGAGAGGGTAGTGGATGCATGGAATAGTCTTCCAGCTGAAGTGGTAGAGGTTAACACAGTAAAGGAGTTTAAGCATGCGTGGGATAGGCATAAGGCTATCCTAACTATAAGATAAGGCCAGGGACTAATAAAAGTATTTAGAAAATTGGGCAGACTAGATGGGCCGAATGGTTCTTATCTGCCGTCACATTCTATGTTTCTATGTTTCTATGTTTCTATACATCACTGCAGTGAAATGGCAACACACACACAAATATACCCCTACATGCAAATAACTACATTGCATTCAAATACACCACTTAAATTAAATGGCAAAAAACTCTTCATTAAAATGCCATAACTGCACACAAACACACACTAAAATTCACACACCTACTCCATACAAAAACATGTTTATGTTCAAACTCACAGACACTCCTCACAAATACAGCCATTTGAGAATGAGAAAATAGTAAATTGCAAGCTGGCAAATCATTTTGGGAGTTGTACAACATTTAAGGATCTACCTTTTGGCCACCCTTGCGCTACATGGTGGCCCTTAGAATTCCTTGCACAAGGCCCCTCTCTAAATTAATTATGCCACTGTGAGTCTTATTAAATTCCTGGGATATGAGACTAGAATGGTATTCTCAGTATCTGAGAATTTCAGATACCGAGACTCTTATTCAGAAATAAATGGACCATTCACTGTGCTGCAAATAAATACACATAATATTATGTATATTTTGCAGTACACTGATAAAAGCATTTCCTTGCAGTTTGGGTCACAAATCAACTGAGAAAAAGTAACCAAAAGAGGAAAAAATAGGAGGAACAGCAAAACAAAAATCTATATTTATACATTATTTATTTATGAAAGAGAAACTATCGTGCCAGGAAAACAAAATTGTTTTCCTTGCACTATAGCTCCATATAGTGCCCTCCTTACAGGCACCCCACCCCCGATGTCCCTCGGGGCTGGCTTGGGCTCTGCCTTCGCTTCTCCCTCGGCGATATCAGCTCGGCGAGTGAGTCCTAATGTGCACACGTGGCAATCGCCACACTCGCAATAAGGCTTCCTAATGCTTTGCTATGGGGATTTGGGTGACGCTGGATATCCCAATGCATAGCGTGAGGACGTCCAGGGTCAGTTAGGATGACCTGCCAGTAATGCTGGTGGATACGTTCCCACTCCCATCCCTTTTTTTCATGCAGGTCTTTCTCCTTTTGGGAGTAGCCAGCATCACAATCATGTCACTGGCCCACTTCCCTTTACCACCCTCCCACCAGCGTCCCAATTTTGGGACTGCCAATGTTGAGAGGTATGCCTACTTTATCATGGTATAAAAAGAAAAACACAAGTCAGTGACTGCAAACTCCGAGTGCATATTATACGAAAAAAAGACGTATTCTAAATTGAAGTACATTTCAGGCACAAATAGAATTAAAAAAACTCAATAGTCAGCAGAGATTCAACAAATAGCCTGTAGTTTTCTCCTAACAGGGGTTTTCCAAAACTGGTTGCAAAATCTATACTTCAAAAGGCAACAAATAATAAAGTGTATATATTGTATATTCCAAAATAAAAAAACAACAAATAAAACAGACAAAAAAAAGGGATACACTTTATTACTTTCTTTACAAATAAAGAAAGAAACAAAAATAAGGCTTTAAAGAACACATGCCATCACTGCTTGCTTTTTAAAATAAATTATTTTATTTATCCAAACCAGTTAAAAAATACAGACAAATTTCAGCATATACAGGCTCCCAACATGCTAAATCTCAAGTTACACGTTCCGTGCATAACTAGCACTTCCTCTTGTAAAAAGAACCTGACATTCTGACTGTCCGTCAGGGGCAGGAGGCCAACTATTGGCGTTCAGGAACATCTGGGGAGAAATTATTCAGGATACTTGGACACTCGCCATCGTAAATTCAAGTCACTGCCTGGAGTTGATCAAGAGACCCAGGAGAAGTTTCTTCAGCAAGTCAAGTATACCTTCAGACAGAACTCTGTCTTCCCTGACAGAATACGTTTCCAGTTCTACCTCAGGAAAGATTTCAGCGTCATTACTCCCCATTATTCCTTATACAAAAACTCAGCAAATGGTTGTGAGGGAGTTTCAATGCTTTGGATGGTTAATAAATTACCAATAAAGCACTTTGGTGCCATCCAGAAAGAAGGATTTCCTGGGAGCACCCTTCAACACTCTGGACAACACAATATCTCTTTCTCAGGACAGAATTACCAGAGCTTGTGTGACCAAGTTCAGATCAGAGAGAACTGTTACTGCAAGAAGGTGCATGCCTCATCCAATTCAACAGGAAGAGAAAGGTTTGGTCGCAGTATCTAAGTGTGCCACAGATGGTGAGTGTCATGTATTTATCCGCTTATAGAAATGTGATTAATGGAATTTATTGTTCAGACAGGAAAAGTTGTGCCGAACAACATTACTGTCCTGAGAGGAAACGTTGTGCCGAGCAGCAATCAAATCCACAGCAGAGTTTGTGCTGAGCAGCAATTCTGCAAATGGGAACCTCGTAACTGCCTTTGGGGTCAAAGGCCGGTTACAGCCTATCAGATCCAGAGGAGGGGTATTTAGGCCCAGTTCTCATCCTGCTCAGTGCCCTGTCGTGGTTTTCCTTGTGGTTGTCCGAGAGCGCGTTATTGATTCTGGTAATTCTGGTTATTTTACTTTGGTATTGGTTTTGACTTCCCTGTTTTCTGGCATCCCTGACTCCTGGCTTTTCCTTATCGTTGTGTCTCTTTCTGTATCCCTTGACCTCGGCTATTCCTGACTATTCTTTGGTACGTTAGTCCGGCCATTCTAAGGTCCGGTATACGTTACATATCAGTCCTCTGTGTTACACAATTCTACGTGCTGGATCATACTGTAATCCTGACAGTGAGAAGCCATCTACTATGGTGGTTACAAACAAAAAACCTACTCAACAGATTCCTGTTGATGGAATGCAAGAGGCAAATCATTACTACAGATTCAAGTTCAAGAGGCTGGGGAGCACCTTACCTACAACACATGGTCCAACCAAGGAATATAGACTTCTCTGGAAGCGACTTTCCTTTGCAATGTTTTGGATCTCAGCTATTACCAAGGCTCTCCTGAAATTCGTAGGAGTCTGTTTAGACAACCTGGCAGCAATCTCTTACATAAATCAGTAGGGCGGTACCCACAGTACAGTACTGATGATAGAGATGGATAAATTAATGACTTGGGCTCAAAGGCATATTCTAGGTATATCAAAGTTAATTTACCGGGAAAACAGAATAAAATGGGAGGTTAAAATACAGAAACATGATTGGCAACTAAACCCTCAAGTGTTCTACAGTCTAATAAGGTTATGGGGTCTTCCTCAAATCAACTTGATGGCCAATACTCAAATGCTCAGATTCAAACTTATTTCTCAAGAAGGTATGACCAGAAAGCCAGGATGCTCTAACCCAGAGATAGGAGTATTCTCTAGCCTATATTTTTCTCTGATTTCTTTAGTTCTGAGAGTTCTGGTGAAAATTTGGATCAAGAGAGCAGACATTATTGCAATTTTGCCTTCCTAGACTCGAAGACTGGTTCCCTATTGCTCAACGGATGTGTCAGAGGCATCTGAGAGAACTTCCAGCCCATCTAGATGTATTGATGCAGGGCCCAGGCCGACAGGCTCTTCAATTTAGTGCATGGAGCGGC